TTTTGTTTAGCACCTGAATGCCTGTGTTCAAGCAGTGTGCAGGTGCATGTGCACGCACACACACACACACACACACACACACACACAGCCTTCCTAAGAAGCAGTCACCTGACTGGATATGCTGAAGGCTCCTGTCACAAGTTAATTAAATTTCAGGGAAGCCCTATGGAAACTGTAACTTAGAAAATTATATCAAAAAATTAAAATTTGTGAGGAGGCCTCTATACTGGGAAAGAAAGAATAAATTGCCTAGCACGACCTCCATTTCAAATTGTGGCATGAAAGGGCACTCTGGTGCCCTAGTGGAAGGAAGCTGCACTGCAATCCTGAAGCTGTGTGGTTCAAATCCACCAGATGCTCCACTGGAGAAGGAGGGGCAATCTCCTGTGCCAGTCAGATCTGATTTCATGATACACAACAACAAAAATTTTTGAAAAAAATTGTGGCATGGAGAGATTTAATAAAAGTACCAAATATCTAGAATCCATTGTCTATATTATTCAGTTAACTATTTATATATATATATATATATCTATCTCCAGGCTTTGTGCTATAGATAAAATTGTTGTTGTTGTTAAGGGCCATCAAGTAAACTATGACTCCTAATGATTCTATGAACAATGGATCCAAACTCTGACCTGTCCTGTGCCATCCTCATCAATCAGACATACTTGAGTCCACTGTTAGAGTCACTGTGTCAATCCCTCTCGTCGCAGGTCTTCCCCTCCTTTGCGGATGATCCACCTTTCCAAGCATGATATCTTTATATGAGGACTGGCCTCTCCTATTAACGTACCCAGGAATGGGGGGCAAAGTTTCATTATCCTTGCTTCCAAGGAGCACACTAGGTGCACTTTTTGCAAGATACACTTGTTCGTTCTCTTGGTAGTCCATGGGATATTCAATACTCTTCTCCTACATCAAAACTCATAGGCATGGATTTTCTTCTGTCATCCTTAGTCACTTTCCAAAGTCAATTTATAGCAACATGATAGATAGAATAACAGCCATTCAAAATGACTACCACTCATCTGTCAGTCTGTCTGTCTTACCATGGCGGCTTACATGTTGCTGTGATGCTGGCTCCAGGAATTGACAAAATATACCAATTGAGGTGTTTCTGCAAAAGATACAGCTCTTGCCATGCTCACTTGTAAATGTGAAAGATAGCTACTTAGCCAATGGGCTGGAAGAGATCCATTTCTGTGCTTGCTCACGCTCTCTCAGAAGTAACCCCCCAAAATAATTCAGATGTTAACTGAGCAGTGTCATTAATATCATATACAAGTAAAATAATGTTGAAGATTATATCAAAATTAAATTACTGGAGCAGAACATCACAGGGAACTTCCAGAAATTCAAGTTATATCCATAAGTTATTTTGGAATAGGGATATCAGTGCTAAAGTAAAATGGTTCTTGGTTGAAAGAAGATAATTCAGGATATTACTTGTGTTTTATTGATTATGCAAAGGCATTTGACTGTGTGGATCTTAACAAATTATGGATAACATTGAGAAGAGTAGGGATCCCAGCTCTTAATTGTGCTCATGTGAAACCAGCACAAAGACCAAGAAGCACTCCTTCAAACAGAACAAGGAGATACTGCAGTTTAAAATCATCTGTGTATCAGCATTGTATCCTTTTTCCATTCAATACATATGCTGAGGAAATAATTTGGAAAACTAGACCATCTGTGGCATCAGAATTGGAGCATGCCTCATCAACAACCTGGTATGCAAATGACATAACCTTGTTTGAAGGAATTAAAGAATAATTGAATCATTTACTGAAGAATATGGATTACTCCTCAACATGAAGGGGGGGTAAATTCTCAAAATTGGACCAATACATAATAGCACGATGGAGAAAAGATTGAAGTTGTCAGTGATTTAATTTTATTTGGATCCGTGGATGCAGCAGTCAAGAAATAAAAGAACATAAAAACAATGCATACAAACTTTGTAAGTAAACAAGTATAAAATAAAAATTTTATTTTAAAAAATACAATTACTAAGAAAGAAAAGCACACATTGCATTGGGTGAATCTGCAGTCAAGAACTGCTTTAAAGGGCTAAAGAGTAAATATACTTTTTATGTTTTTGTCATCATTACTATTATATATTATTATTTATTGTCAAATTTTATTTGAGATGTGCCTGACCTAAGCCATGGTGTTATCATTGCTTCATATGTGCATGAAAGTTGACCATGAATAAGGAAGACAGAAGAACTGATGCCTTTGAGTTGTGATGGTGGCAAAGAGTATGGAATACGCCAAGGACGGGCAAAAGACTAAATCTGTGTTGGAGGAAGGACAACCATCCTTGGCGGCGAGGACGGTGAAACCTCATTTCACCCGCTGTGGGCATGTTGTCAGGAGACACCACTTCTTGCAAAAATGACATCATGCTTGGAAAAGTAGAGGGTCGGCAAAAGAGAGAGACTCTCACTGTACAAGACAAAGTCACACAGGGACGACCACAACAGGCGTGAGCATAGTAGGGACTGTGAAGAAGGCAATGGATAGAGCCACATTTTGCTATGTTGTTCACAGAGTATCAATGAGGCTAGTCCATTCAGTGGCGAGTAACGACAACAACAACAATTGAAAAAGACTGTATAGATTTTAATTCACAGGAAGTTAGTTGTTCATAATATTATATGGAAAAAAGTGTTGCTGTTTACTGTTGGGTCTCTCTATCCTTGCCTTTAAGGAGCACCTGGTAGCACTTCTTCCAAGATACTTTCACCATTCCTATGAAAAGGATTAATTGATAAATACTATTATGAATTCATTAAAGTATATTTCAGGAGAAAATTGGATAATAATAATAATATAGTAATACAGTAGTAATGGTGACAAAAACATGGCAGAAAAAAAGTAATATGGACTATCTCTGGATGCTTAGCTTACATTTTTATTATACTTGTATTTTTCAGTTTTCCTGCAAAAAAATTATTATTGTATGAAAAGTGGAATAAATCTCTAAAAAAAGAATGAAAAGTTTTAAATCAGAATAAAAAACCAATAGGTTCCAGTAATCAAAGAATAAAGAACAGTTATATCCTCACTAAAAAGAAAAAAGAATGAAAAGTTTAAAAATTATATCTGAGGGAAGTGGATTCACTTCTGGTTGCAGTTTGCCTTCCTTGAATTCCCTCCTTGGCCTGCCCTGTGGGGAACCAGCCTTTCAGTGTCATTTAAAAAGTCTAGCCTTTAAAACAGTGATACTGTTGGCTGGAAGCTTGGGAGAGCCCTCACTATCATAGGGCAGGGAGCCAGCCTAGGAATGTGAAGCTACATGACTGGTTGAGTTTGTACCCAGGCTGAGCCACTTGAGGACACTTGAAAATATGAAAAAAACAAAAAGACTTTTGGCATTCCAAAAATAATACAGGAAGTTGAGTTTTGGGGAGGGAGGCACATTGAAAGGGTACAGGAAGTACCAAACTTGAAGATACCCTATAAAGAGATTTCTCTTGGCTGACAAGAGCCCACAGATTACAGCTGTTATCTTTGTAGGTTAACACAGACCAGAGAAGGGCATCTTACTGGGTGTATTTACTTAACCAACACTTCCAAGACAAGGCACCAAATCTGTCCTTGTTACCATTTAATAATTCAGAGTCAACCCTGTATCAGCCTTTCTGGTCAGTGAAATAAAGAAACAAGAATTGCTGGGAAGTGAGAGAGTGCTGTGGGGCACAAGGGGTTTTCTTCCTTTGCTTTGCAGTTTGGAAAGCTGCCATCCATTCAGGTTTTACTCAAAGAGGCTTTTTCCAGACCCCAGAACAAATTGTAGACAGAAGCTCTGCTCTTTGTCAGGAGACAACTGCAGCTCAGAGCCAGCCAGGATCTTATCCTCTTCTCCTCAGAGAACAACTTCTCAAGTGCAAGGCAGCAGTTTGCAAGACAGCAGTTACTTCCAGAAAGGCCACCCGTTCGAGGGTTTTAATTTTGGTTTTTGACTATTGTCCAGGTTACATTATCATCCTAATGTAGGTGACTAAAATGACTGCCTTTTCTTTTGCCTTTCTTCTGTAACCACTGAAGATAATGAAAACAAAACAAATAAAAAGGAATTTTTCCCATTATCCCAAGCCCCCAAAAATGAAACTTCTGAGCTGTACTCAAGCCAGAGATCTGTGAACTCATAAACTGCACACAAGTTAAACCTTTGCACAGAAAGTTAAAGCCTGTAAACCTGGTTCTAATTTTGTAATCAGATATTGCTCTCTTTTTTTGTTAAGGATCATTTTTTCCTTCCTTTTAAGGCAGATAATCCCTTATTAAAGTACCATTAAAACAATCCCTTATTAAAGTACTATTAAAACAACCCATTGATTACAAAGGCGATAATGAAATACTCTATATTTTAAATGTGGTGGTGGTTGCCTGACTATGTGGGTATAAAAACTCATAAAACTATCCACTTAAAGTTTGATTTTTTTTTCACAAGAGGTCAATTATACCTCAATTAAAAACACCAACCATCCAGATTTGTAACAAGTAAAAAATGTGTCACACACAATACTGAACAGAAGAGTTTGTTTCTATAGAATGCACATACGAATGAGAGGAAAGAAATCAGAAGAATTTTTAAATTGCATTTTGTTGGTTATTCCTCAGAAATTCTCCTCTGAAATGGTTACGTTTTGGAACAGTAAATAGGTTTTAAACTTAAAGAGGGGTGTTTGTTACATTATAAAAATCTTTCGTTCATTTTATTATACTGCAGTAAAATTGTGTTAATTTTTACGAAAAGCTTTCGGGTGGTGGCCAGAACGGTGTGTGCGTATGTGTATATAACTGTATCTATTTCATCTATATCTATATCATCTATATCTATATCATCTACTTCTATATCATCTATATCTGTATCATCTATATCTGTATCATCTATATCTCTACATCTGTATCTCAAATGAAAAATGTATCCTCTTAAATTTGTGAGGCCTGTATATTACACATCAATAAAACAATAAAGAAATTGAATCATGAACGAGTGGTCAGGGCAAACCGTGATGAGTTCACCTGATTCACCCCCAGAAAAGATCCAGAGGGGCAAACCCCACCTTCTCAAGTACTGGGCAGTACCGCGGGGTCTGCAGGCGGGCCCGAGCCTCGGGGGTGGGGTAGGGTGAGTGGAGTGCAGGAATGGCGATCAAGCGCGAGAAACGGCGTCTCTAGGGCCCCCACTGCGGTCGGGCATTCCAGGGAAAGCTGGGGGAATTCTCCATGCACGGGGCCCACAGGGCCTCCCGCCTCGGGGCCTCCACAAGCCTCCCCATCACTGTCCTCCCGGAGGCTGCGCTGACGTCACCGCCCCGCCTCCCGCCGTTCGCGCCCCGCCCCTTTCCCGGCGTGCACTTCTGCAGAGCATCCTCACCCTCGGCTGCTGCTTGTTGCCCCAAGATGGCGGACACAATGAGCCGGCGCTGCGCTGGTTGGCCCTAAGGCGACTGTGCGGCAGAACGGTGGTCGAAGCCCCCGCGGTCGCGTCAGGAGCGTGATCCACGAGCGGGAAGAAGCGGCGACTCGACTGTCGGCCGCCCTTCCGCTCGCCGCTAGCGCGGCGTCTGCCCCGCCCGGATCGACCCCT